ATCATTGCTATTTTTTAAATCCTGTATCAGTCCCAATAATGACTCATCTTTGTTCTTGTTATTAAACCAGTGTTTAAACACTGTGTGAATTATTACAATGAATGCCAAAATGGTACAGGCCAGATATGACTTAGGAAGGTCATATATTTCCAGGAAGATGTCATTCATCATACAGGCAAAAAGGTTTTCAAATTCTTGTGAGGTAATGTTGTCAGCCATATTACAAGAATTACTCAAAATTTGTTAGTCAATTTTAAGGTGTAAAATTATCAAGTACTCTTACTTGAAACAATATGCTTACCTTTTGTGGTTTTCGAGTGTGTTGTAGCACTTTTCAGCCAGCAGGTGGCATTGGTACAGCTCCAAAGCAGGGCCTGTTGGTGATCTTGGCTGACTACAGCCCGCTGGAGTCAAGATGGCGGGAGCCAGAGCTGGCGCCGGCACTCAGGAAGCCGGGGAGTGCCTCTTTCGCTGGTCTCGGGGCTAAGCTAGGAAACTGAGACCAGACTAGCTGCTCCCTTTTTTGGGAATGGAACCGTGTAGGCGTTCCCTGGTTATATGGAACTTTGCAGGTGGGTTTAGGTACCCGCTAGCCAGGGAGGAGGCTGAGGGTGGGAGTCACCCAGGCCTTTGGAATTTGCCCCACGTGAGCGCCAGAAATTGGTGAAATTATTAAGGCCATTCCATGTAGTTAAAAGGAGATTTATTTAATGACGTAACTTACAAGTTAAGGGATAGGTAGGTTGCAGGGTCTGGGGAAGGTGTATTGCAGTCCAGTGGTGTTCTCTGGAGCTCTGCTTGGCCCACCTTCACCGTCCAAGGTCCCGGAACCGAGTGAGTGCGCCGCCCATCCAGATCTCAGGTCTCCAGGTGCCTCCGTTGGTCCCGCCTTGTAGGCGTGACAGTTGCCGAAGTCTCAATGGGGGTTGGAACTTCCAGATCAAAGCTGGAATGGCTACCCACTACAGTTTAATGTCTGTTAAGGCTTTCTCATACCTACCCCATGTGATGTTTTTTATGCTATTCAATAAAGACAGAGAAAAACACTCTATTATGGACAGACAGATCCATACAGAGCACACAGTCAGTCAGACAGACAGACAGACAGACACACACACAGACACACACGCACACACACACACACTCAAAGACAGCAAACACACACAGGGATAGATTCACAAGACAGCCTTCAGGAAGGCACAGATTCAAACTCATGGAACAGAGAACCAGGGAATGGAAGGGACAGGGAAATTCCAGTAGTGAATTCAAATCTGGGTTTGCTGTTAGTTAAATGACTCCAAGGGAAAATGCATTCATTTCTTTTCTTGACTCAGCTAGGATTAATTATTTGTGACATGGAGTTAATCACTAATGTGTTTAATCCATGCACATTTGCAAAATCTATTACACAGTGACATCACTGTTTTTCCATATAAAGAGAAGCAACAGAACTTACCACAATGTGAAACACTCAGTCCTGTCATGTGAAAGGTACCCATGGGCTCAGAACGAACCCTGTGCTTTAAGGATGGGCCCTACCTATGCATTTGTTTTTTTGTGTTCTAACCTCCCTGCAGAGCTGGGATGCCTATTGACCTGTCATGATCATCATAGCACAGCCTAAACCTCAGAACACACCTGAGATATCTGGTCCTCATCATAATCATGACAAATGTATTTCTTAGGGAGAATCTCTAAAGGGGCTTGAGCAATTCTGGAGTCTTTTTTTCCCAGCCTGTGCAGAGAATTGTAGGCAACAATCAGAAGAGCATCTGTGGATAAATGGCTAAACAGTATAGTACATAGGATAGTTCTATTTCTAGTTTTTTTAAAAAAATATAGAATGCTTTCCAAAGCGGTTTCTCTAGTTTACAATCCCAAGTAGTGTATTATAACAGTGTTCCTTTCCTAACATTCATGTCAGAATTTGTTATTTATCCTGGTGATGGCCATTATGATGGGTGAGATGAAATCTTTAAGGAAATTTAGTCTGTATCTCCCTGATAGCTAAGTATACAGTACTTTTTGTCAACATGACTTGAGAAGTAAGTACCCAAGCTAACTGCACAGCCTAATCAGTAGACAGGAGTGTACAAGTATATCTGACGCCTACTGACTTTAAAGTCCTCATGGAACTAAATTAGGAACTGTAGAAGAAATGATCAAATCTCCTGATTGGTACCACACACCCAAATTACACCAACATGAACTAATTGAAGAGGTTTATAAGCAGCAACAACAATGAAGCAGCAATAAATGCATCCTGACTAAAAAGAAAAGCCTAGAAGCCGGTTGATTCCTCTCAGAATTATGTCAGAATTTCAGAGGATAATTGATACTGAATCTACTTAAAGTATTCCTTGATGTAAAATGGAGTCAAGGCTTTCAGATTCTTTATGAAGTTAATGTTACTTTGATATCAAACCAGATAAAGAGGCAATATGAAAAAACTTAACTTTTGTTATTATCTTTTTGCCATTTCACATGACATACCTCATTTACTGTACACTCTGATCCCTTTCTCTCTACAATCCTGGCCCATACAAATCCTTCTCTCCATCTGGCTCCCTCCGCACCTCTCTCCCATGTTCATCTCTACTCATTTTGTATTTGACCCACCAAGATTAACCAGGTCATCTGTGAAACTGGGTTTGGAGCTATGCGTTGGAGACTGGTGGGTTTCTCAGAAGAGACAACTAAAGACAGTGATTTCCCTTCTAAAATCTATCCATGGCCACAGTTGAGAGGTAAAGGGTGGGGCCTTGTGAGCCTCTCCCCTTCCTAGACTGTCAATAGAGCTGGTCTCAAGTGAGACTAGTATAGGTAAGTACAGTTCCTCTGGGCTATTGATTACAATAGTTGTGTCCAGTCTGGAGAATGGGAGGTCATGGTCATTCCCCATCTTTCTTTTCTTATTTCTTTCCCACAGCTTCTTCCTCAATACTCCCAGAGCCTTAGATGGCATGGTATAACTGACTTGTTTCAGGCTGTGCCCATTTACATCACTTACTTTATGCATCTTGGACAGATATATGCTTCTACATTCACCACTGAGTTTTTAAATAGAATTTCCTTTGTTTTTCATAAAAGTACTTTTTTTTATGATTTTTTTTTTTTTGGTTTTTAGAGACAGGGTTTCTCTGTGTAGCTTTGCACCTTTCCTGGGACTCACTTGGTAGCCCAGGCTGGCCTCGAACTCACAGAGATCCGCCTGGCTCTGCCTCCCGAGTGCTGGGATTAAAGGCGTGCGCCACCACCGCCCGGCCATAAAAGTACTTTTAATGTGCTTCCCAGAAGACAAACTTGTTTCTGAGTTAGCACAACCCCAACATCACCAACTGATGGGGTATAGTGCAGGATGAATTCAGCCCTGGGTTGTTAATGTTCTGACTGACCACTTATGTCCTGAGATTCCTATTTCCTTTCTAAATCCTGAGTTCCTGAAATGTCTTTCCCCCAAGTCAACATTGCTAATAGTGTAATTACAGATGTTTGAGTGGCAAGAGTGGAGGTCTGTGAGGGAAGGATAAAGATGGCTTTTTAGTGTCACTTTATCTGCACAGTGATGGAAATGATTATCCAGCTTCCCAGGAAAGCTCTCCAGAGTGAGGTACTGTGTCTAAAATTTAGAATATTTCAAATAAATATAGAACGTGCAGCTGAAACTTCACTTTTACCTTTAACTAGTGTTACTTACACGGAGCATTTTTATTTTGATTGATCCATTTCTTTGACTGAGCCATGCAGCTCCTCCACCTTGTCTTCAGGCCTGATGTTCTGTCTCACACCTGATTGATCTCTGTGTTATTATTAGGCTTACTGCATTTTTCATCTCTAGTTTCACTTCAGTCTGTTTTTTTTTTTAGTGTTTCAGACTGCTTATGAAATTCAATTTTCATATCCTACAGTGTCCTCATTTCCCTCAGGCATTTACTAGTGTGTTCTTTCCCATGAATCATTTTGTTCTTAGTCTCTTTGAGTTGATTTGCATGCTTTACAAGTTTGTCCACTTTGGATATGACTCTAGTTTTTGAGTTCTGTATATTGGATATCATTTTACTTTCTCTCCTTAGGAGATACAGACATGGTTTGTGCTTTGAGCCCAGGGTGTTTTATCTTAGTTTTAATTTGTTTTGGGAATGAGACTTGAGCATCAGAATTCAGAGTGTTTGCTGTCTTTTGCTGTGTGATTTTAACCCAGGAGGCTGGTATCTCAAGATGAGAAGTTAGGCAGGATGCAATGAGCATAGTTTAAAAAAAAAATGCCTTTTAGAATGTAAAAATAGCTTAGTCAGGATCCCCACTACACTCAAGGCTGCACATGACAACAAGAACTTAGTGACATCACTCACCCAAGATAACCACAGACAGTCCCAGATCCCATGATGCCCACTGGACAGTATTTAAGCAAAGTCAAGAGCAATGCTCTGTTCTGCATATCCGGTGAGACGCCACCTTGATCTGCCCTGAGGCTGGAGAATCTCCCCCAGGAGAGTGACCCTCAAATTAGAGACTTCTGTTAGACACTGGACCTGACCTTCAACCTAGATAACGTTGCACAGGTGAGCAGCCTTGATTGTAAACCTCGTGTGAAGACCCTCAGCACAATAAAATTACTTTTGTTATACTAACTACGTGCATCTACCTTCTTGCTCCAGACACAGGATAATTCATAGCAGAAGGTTTCAGGACCCAGGGTGGGGATCAGACACAAGGATGCAGTGTCCTCCTAGATCCAGTTCTGGTCCAGGCTGGCTGCAAGCATATGGGGAGGCTGTGCAGAGGGGGTCCAGGACAGGCTGACAGCTGGAGCTGTGTGGAAGGCAGCCCGAGACAGAGTGGGAGGGACGGGTCCCCGATGGGCGGGTATGCCTGCCAATCAGAGGAGTTTTGGGGAGGAAAAAACCCCAACAGGGTAGACTTGGAAAAGAAAGTAAGAAAAGGAGCCCGCGATAGGCGGGTTCAGAGGAAGCAAGTAACCGGAAGCAGAGATGTATTGGGCGGGGCCAGGAGGGCCCGCTCCAGGTAAACCAGGCTGAAGGGACAGGAAATTCCACCATTCCCTGTTGGACTCGGGGAATGGCGCTTTACGAGACTGGGTGAGGAAGACCCGGCCGTGTATTCGGGAACACGAAACCTCCCCGGAGCCGCAGTCGCCGCGCGGGGCGGCCTGGGAAAGTCACCAGTCAGCAGCGCAGTGGCGGGAACCGCAGCCCGGCGGCCCTGGAACCTCCCAGGTCAGAGGAGCTGCGGGGCTGGGACACGGGAGGGAGGGACCGGGGTGTGCTCGCCGAGGCTGCCCAGAAGGACACTCAAGGACACTGTCAGCTCCCGCTGTCCTGCCCGGGGACGTCCGGGAACCTGCGGCAGCTTACGTCATCACCTGCGGTCAGGTGCGGTCGTTTCCCCGCACCCTGCGCGCCTCGAACACCCCTTAAAAGTGTTCGTCCATCACAGTTCTCTCTCTTGCTCGTCACTTGCTCTCTTACCTGTTCTCTGTCTGTCTGTCTGCCTCTCATGTCCCCACTCCGAGACGGCCTTTTCCTCTTTTGCTCAAGCTCCTCCTCCAATAAACCTCACCCTAGACCTGTTGCATGTGGCATGTTCTCTTAGCGGCCCACCCTGGCCGGCCGCCTTTTCCGTACAGACACAGCTTTCAATATTCTGTTACTGATATCTTTTCCATTGTCGGTAAGTTTGAGATCCCATGAAGTGGGTCTCATCGTGATTATTTTACACTTATCTTATGTTGCCAGACTATTCTGTCATAATATAAATCATAAAATAATCCAGGAGAGCATTTTCATTGTCCGATGTTTGCAAACAGGGTTCTCTTTGCTATGTGACAGTTCCAATAGTCCTGGAATTTAAATTCATCCATGCTTTCTAACTTCCCTGTTTTACCACAGGCCTCTTTTAGAGAGTGGCACTTGTCCCTGAGACTAGGCATCCCCAGAGAGTTTGTAGCTAGTAATCACACGAGGAACCAGTGAAATACGATTAAACAGAAAATATGTTTTATGGAGTGCCATACATATGGTTGTAAACATTAAGCAAACCTTTTACTCCCCATTAATTTTCCATCTGAGATATATGCAGTCTAGAATGTAAATACAGCATTCAGAAATGTGTCTTTGTATGCTGTGTCCTTACGTTACACCTTAGGTCCAGCCAAGCCCAACGTGTGTGCTGTGAGAGTATATCAGGCCACACTGTTTTATAGTTAGCAAATGCACTTTAAACAGTATTATTTTATAATATTTATGATCACTCACCTGTATCAGAAAAATGTCTCTTCTTTTGAAGAAAAGCACTTTGCCGATACACAAGTGGCCAAACTGTTGTTTTTTATTTCAGGGTTTGTGGACTTTCAGTGCTATGATTGTGGACTTAGTGTAGGAGGTGTGGGACTGCTCACAGGGCATTTTGCAGGGATCTGTTGGAGAACTGCAACAGTCTGGATTCTGAGGGTGAGAATAGTTTTATTGCACTCTTCCTTGCTCCTGCTCAGGGTTCCTGAGAAAACTACTCTGCATGTATGTGAGCTGTGTGTGAATGAGTCTCAACATTTCAGAGTAAAGTGAAATCCTTAGAGAAAGAGACATTTTTTCGTGATATGTTCTCTCTCCTTCATGTTTATCCTTTGGCAGGTGTTTTCTTCTTACGCTTTTGTTCCATGGAAAGTTCCAGGTGCTTTCTGAAGAACCTCTTTCCCTTATGCAAGTCTCACATTGCTCAGTGAGTCCTGCTCACCTGTGAATCAGAACAAAGAACCCTGGATGGTGAAGAGAGAGGATCAGTAGCAAAGGATCCAGGTATGTTACAAGGAATGAGGAAGGGGTGAAGACATGGGAAAGGGCTCACGTGACAGTAGAAACAGGACATAAAATTTGTTTTGCTTCATTCTGTTTTATTCTAAATGATTCTAGAGAAGTCCACTGAAAATAATCTCAAGAGTCTCCTATTGTAGGAGTTTGAAGGCTGTATGTAAGTATTACTTCTCAGAGACAAATATAATTTTATTTGACTTTGCCTGGGAGTGATGCTGCCCCTCTTCTTTTCACATTGCTGGTTGTGTTTTCATACCAACATGAAGTGGCTTTATTACTATAATTTTAATGTGGTGTTTAGTTAGAACCGTTGAAGCCTCTTGGTTTGTCCTGCACACAGAGTTTTTGGAGCATCTCATTGTTCCTTCAGGTTCTGTGTTTTTTTAGGGTTAATTCCTGTATTTTCTAAAATAATGTCAGCAGGATTTTGATAAGATTTGCTTAATACCGTCTACATTGTCTTTCCTTTTCTATCTTTTTTGTCTTCAACAGTCTATGGTTTGTGTCGCTACAATTTTTATATATTTTGAAATTACCTCTGGGTTTGATCCTTCTCTCATACTTTTGAAGTCTTTGTGGTTTCTCACAATTTTATAAATCTTAGGAAGAGTTTCTCCATTTATATAAAAATGGGTGTAAGTTCTTGGTACAAATTACTTAGAGTCTTTACAGAGGATACTTTTGTATTTTTTCACATGTTTGAATGAGATCCTGCTATCATTGAGTAAATATTCATAATTTTTTTGTATTCTTTTCTATCTCCTGTTGATGGCAGCATTCAGCGTTCTTAGGGAAGACGCTGTTTTTTGTTTTGTTTTTTCAAAACAGGATTTCTCTGTGAACTAGTCCTAGAAAGACACTCCCCCCCCCCTCCCCCCCCAGACAGGGTTTCTCTGTGTAGCTTTGTGCCTTTCCTGGAACTCGCTTTGTAGACCGGGCTAGCCTTGAGCTCACAGATATCTGCCTGCTTCTGCCTCCTGAGTGCTGGGGGTTTAAAGGCGTGCGCCACCACCGCCTGGCAGAAAGACACTTTTTAAATATTGATCTTTACTAGGTTTAAAGCCTTGTTCCATTTTTAAGACATAGCCACAGTATAGCATGCTGATTGAAGATTGAGAAGACTGTGTATCTTCTGCTCTTGTGTGGATGATTCTCTGCAGCCCTGCTAGTCATTATTGGTTTTCTGTGCTGCTCATGGTTATCTTTCTCAATGGTGTATATTGAAGCTCCCCTGCATCACTGCCTATTTGCCACCTACAATTCTGTTATTGATTGCTTCATGTATTTGGAAACTGTTTTATAAAATGCATTCATGTTGATGACATACCTTTCTGGAAATGAACCATTTGGCCATTTGTTAATATATATTTTTTGTATATTTATAGATTTATCTTTTCCTGTTATCTGACATAATTATGACCAATCCTTTTCACAGAAAATCTTTAAATAAAATTCCTTCACTCTTGGCACCTTGTATCCTTACATTTGAAATAAGTACTTTCATAGAAAGTGTATATTTTGATTTTAAGGTGTTTTCTCTTTTGCTTTTGAAGCTGTATCCTATTTTCATGTTTGGTTTTGAGGCATAGTAGACATACACTTCAAGAAATCCCTGAAGGAAAATATAAACATACTATTTTGTTATTTTTTTCTTTTTTGTTTCTTTTCCTCTTTCTGAGTTCCTTTCTATTTCATTGATAGTTTGCAGTATATTTCATCCCTTTATAAACTTGATTAGCATCTTCTCTAGGTTTTCTCTATTTAATTTTTTGCTTGTTCAAGAAGCTGCATACTGACTTGCCTGGTTACTTCAGTGATTTGTATTCCCACTAACACCACGTCTGTGTTCTTCTTTCTTCATTGTCTCCAGCATTTGTTATTGTTTAACACCTTGAGTGTGGAGACTGACTGGGCAGAGATCTCAGTCTACATTAGAGGAACATTTTCTTCATCAGTAAACATGTAGAGCATGTGCTGTTTTCATTTTAGCTATGTCAAAACTTTTGTGTATTATCACTTTTTTTGGTTTATTTCTTGATTATGATATGATTTGCTTAGCTTTTTTTTTTTAAGCTTCCTAGTGAACTCTGGGTATTTATGTACTATACTATGAAATGTTTGCTAATAAATTTCTCCATTCTGTAGGCTGTTTCTTCATACTTTCAGTTATTAACCATTTGTATGCTAATTTTCAGTTGCACATAGGCAAATTTCACCGATTTATTTATTTGGACCTCGTTTCATTCTTTTATATGTGTATATTTACTTTCCCCTACAATACTGGTTGATGAGGCTGCCTATTCTTTTTTTTTCTTTTTCAGTTATTTTATTTTCTGGAGCTGAGGACCGAACCCTGGGCTTTGTGCTTGCTAGGCAAGTGCTCTATGACTGAGCTAAATCCCCAACCCTGAGGCTGCCTGTTCTGCAACATAAGTTTTTTATTTTTTGGAGAAATTCAGTTGGTCACAGCAGGTTGGATTAGTTCTGAATTTTCTGCTCTTACTGCTTTAGGTGTCTGCTTTTCTGCCGCTGCCATGGTGCTGTTGTTCCTGTGGTCTGTAGTGTCTTCTGAAATCACAGCAGCGATGACTCAAGCTTTGCTCTGTGTGTCTGGACTTTCTCTGCACTCTTAGGGTCTTTGTAATTTTGTAATTTGTAAATAATGTAAATTTGTAGGTGTCTCTTCACTACACCTGTGAAGTAAATCATGATTAGCTTGATTGTCATGAATTTTGAGTTAATCATATAAATCTTTTAACATTGTCATTTTCAAATTGATGCATTCTGTTCCATGTGCATGCAATTTTTTCCTACCTTCCAGTGTCATCCTCCATTCCTTCAGTAAATTCAGTTTCTAGTTTGTTTCTCTTGTGCTTGGTTAGTTTTTCTCCTTTTTAAAAGTATTTTTTATTGTTTACTGTTCAGGTTGAATTAAATAGAAGCAAAAACAGTGTAAGTCTTCTCTAATTTGTTAGTTGTTACATGAAAAAAAAACCACAAAAGTTCTACCTCCAAGTAGACATTGATATCTCATCTTAAGTTCTACTTGTATAAATTTTCTTACTGTCTTATATTATACCTTTAAATTTTTCTGTGTGCATGAACTGTATGCCCACCAATGCAATGTGTTGACTAATCTATCTTGATTAGAGCGAAATGGTTCCAGCTGTTCTTAGTATTGTCAGGTTTAGGATTGTGTCCCATTGTCTTTATTATGTGGAGGTATATTCCTTTTGTTCTCACATTCTTGCAAATGTGATATTTAACATTAGACCTTTCATGGGTCTATTGATTCATCCTGTTTCTCTTCTTACTCACTCTACACATTTGGTGTCTTACATTGATTAATTCATAGAGGTTGAAACTGTCTTGCATTCTTGGCATTAAATCAGCTTGCATTCTGTTTCCATGTAACTTAGAGACAATCTCTGTGTTTATGTCCATCCTGGAAACTTGTCTGTGATTTTCCTTTGCATATATTTGTTTGGGTCACCTGCTTTGGGTATTGGGGAAAAGCTAGCTTTGTATGATGACTTTCTAGAATTCCTTTTCTTTGTGTTTTATTTACTATTCTACTTGTGGTATTAGTATCAGGTTTGTCTAAAGGAAAGGAGAATTCTATTCTGAATCTTTCCAGTCCTCAGACACTGTTAGGGGAAATCAGTATTAGCACTGTTTAATGCCTTTTCTAGTTTTATAACTTAGAAGGATAAATTGTTCACTTGTTTCTAAGAGCTTGAACTTTTCTTCTTCAGTTTCAGTTTCTTTGCATGTGACCACTCACAGTATTCCATAAGGTAACTCTGATGTCATTGGCATATACCCAAATATCCTCTTTTCAACTCAGTTCTATTACTTGGGGATTCATTTTTTTAGTTTGCATTAGGTGAAAAAAGCTTCATCTGTATTTTAGTCAGTTCACAGAAATAAGTCTATTGCCTTGACTCATTGTATTGTCATCTAGTCTCTCAATCATTTCAAACCACCTTTCTAAGTATCTTTCTATGTACTGAAAGATCCTAGCCCTTCAGGCTTACACCTCCAAGCCTCAGGAAAAGAGAAACTTCATGCACCAGGAAATGAAAAACTAAAAATCTAGTTCCAAGGGCAACCTGACTCAGCCACTACTCAATCACCCCTGCCGCAATGTAACAATGTAGAAAGATTTCTGTTAAGAGATGTGCTCAACTGTGCCTGGGATAGTTGCAGGTGTTCCAGGAAGGACCACTGTGACCTGTGTAAACTCCACTCCCGCCCTGATACCCCCCTTGAGGTTTCAGGAAGAATGTGCACACGGACGTAACTGTGTCCCCCTCTGTGATCACTCTGTAACCAGACAATGATTTTATGAAATTAGCTTCTAGACATAAATCAATCGAAATGACATTGTATGGGAATTGTAATCTTGTGGGTTTTGTGGGTTTTTACTTTAAAAGCCCTCATGGGGCTGCAGTAAGATGCGACTCTTGCTCTTGGGAGCAGAGGAGCCCTTCTGTATAGAAGCTTAATAAATCCTCGTGCTGTTGCATCAACTGGACTGGAGTCTGGGTTCTTGGGGCGCCCACTTGAGACCCTAAACTTTGGGGTCCAGCAGTACTATTTCAGATTGACTGTTCTTTAACTTGTAAACCCACAGCCATATAATTATGGACAAATGTCTTTTATAATTGGCACCTATTGCTGCCAAAAATTCTCAGTGTATCTTTTTTTATTTGAGCAATTTTTTTATTAATTTTACATTCCAACCACAGATCCCTCTCTAATCCCTCCTCCCATTCCTCCCCATCCCCCCCTCCCAATTTCCCCATCCCCTCCTCCAAAAGGGTAAGGGCTCCTGTGGGAAGTCAGCAAAGCCTGGCACATTAAGTTGAGGCAGGACCAAGCCCCTTCCCCCTACATTAAACCTGAGCAAGGCATCCCACCATAGGTAATGGCCTCCAGAAAGCCAGCTCATGCACCAGGGATAGATCCTGATCCCCATGCCA